CAACACTTTCAAAATTATTTTTAAAAATGACAAAACCAGTTAAAAGTAGTGACTAGAACTGCAAGGTTTCGTTTAAATTTTTTTTAACTTTTGAGAGCAGCTTAGCTCAGTCAGCTAATCTGGTGGTAGCCACTGTGTGTGCGCTGAACCGTGGAGATCTCTAGGTCCCCGGTTCAATTCCCATCGCTGCCTCTCCTTGTGTTTCAGCTTTCGGGTGAGACGTTTAAGCCGTTGTTCTGGTGTGCATTATGGCCCATGTGAACGCAGTACACTCTTCTGAAAAGAGTAGGGGATTGTCTCCCGGTGTACTGCCAATCACCACCAGAAGGACCCCACTGGAAATAAGTCTTCTTCTAGACTTTCGTGGGCTATCCTTGGTGTTTACACCGAATAAATTCAATCAATCAATCAGTAAATCTATACAAAAGCCCCCAAAAACCAATATCACAAATATTAAATTACAATTATTTATTTATTCATGCACATGTTATGCAATTATTCATTCATCTGATTTGAAATTATTAATTATTAAGAATTTAACATCAACTATAATTTTAAAGTGTAGCCTATTCATAGAGGCCGCAAAGACAAACATACCAACAGAATTAAATAAATAATTGAATGATCATAAACAAAATAAAGGTTGGGGCAAATTTTTTCACATTACACGAAAAAACAGAGATAAACATATCCGCTCTCTAATATTATATCGAGATGTTTGTAATAGCCAACTTACTTTGTTTGTCACACATGCTGAAGAAAACCCGAGGACGAAGTCTACTGGTCGTCGCTGTCATCTCAACCCCTTTATCATTGAGTCATAAGTCACACAACTCACGTATAATGACGGCATAGCAGATCGATCCAGGTCCATGGAAGCGAATCTATTGTTTTCTCAGTTAACACGAAAGAATGTGTGCTTATAACATTATTCGTAAAACGTTGAAGTGGAAGCAAAAGGTCATTGTTAGGCAGACTAGACCTATATCAAATACTGTATCTGTCTCTTATACACATCTAGATGTGTATAAGAGACAGCATTCATACCTCCCATGGGCCTGTTATATTATATTTTATTATAGTAATATTTTATACATTTATTGCATACATTTAGTTAGCAATTTTCTACCCCTGGGTTGGATATATTTTACTTTGTTTATTATAAAAATGTGTAAAATATATAGCAATTGGAAGGCTTTTTAATTTCAGGTTTTCAACGATTATCTTTTCATATTATATAAAAATTGCTTAATATTGTTTTAATTATTGTTGTTATGTTTTGATAGTCGTGATGGTTCTGACAAGAATACTACTATTGGGCGTTATCGCCGCCGTCTGCTCATCAACTGTGCCTGAAGAAACTACATGTAATCCTAACTGTTGTAGCGCCCCTGCTGGCATACCGGGTATACCAGGCACGCATGGAGAGAGAGGCGTCCCCGGTCGAGACGGTGCTCCTGGCGAGAAAGGTGAAAAGGGAGACTCTGGTGGAATACCCGGTGAAGTTGGACCTATAGGACCCATAGGACCAACCGGTGCTAATGGTGAGAAAGGTGATCAAGGTGAAGAAGGCCCAACAGGTGCTACTGGAGCCCCAGGCGCAGTGGGTGCTCCTGGATCCGACGGTGAGCCCGGAACGATTGGACTTCCAGGACCAACTGGTCCCAAAGGCGAGATGGGAGATCAGAGCAACCAACAGAAGTCAGCATTCAGTGTCTATGGTTTGGCCACCTTGACAACAAACCAGCCAGTGAGCCCAATTAAATTCAGATACACCAATGTTAACATTGGATCACACTATAGCCTAAGTACTGGAAAATTTGTCTGCAAAATTCCTGGAACGTACGTCTTCTCATACGCCGTCACGAAAAAGAGTGGAAATGTCGATCTCTTTGTGGAAATACGCCATAATGGAAACGTTGTTATTAGATCCTATGATAATAATCCAAACCACGCTACCATGAGCAATACAGTCATAAGGAATTTGGCTCTTAACGACGAAGTATGGGTTCAGCCTACACGAACAACCAGTAATTCATTTTATTACAACTACCAACGCATGAACTCATTTTCAGGCTTCCTGCTATATGAATCCTAAACACATCGATTCGAGGAATAAAAGCAACATTACATATACAGCACACCAGTAGTGGACACTGTCATTTTCCACCCTACTTTAATAACTACTAACATTGCTAATAATATAGTATGCTTGCCAAATAAAAATATTACCGAAATTACGACCACGCGTTTCTGTTCCCTCTTCATATACCAATAGTAAATTCTACATCAAAAATAATAATAAAAAAGTCATTAGGAGTAAATATGTTATTATCACATTCGAGATAGAGTAGGCCTACACGTAATATGAACGAAAATAATAACTTTTTATAGCATGGTATATGCTATTGAAACTTAGCCCAGTATTAATAATATTAAAGATTTCACCTCACAGTGGACCGACGTCTGAAAGTAACGTACAAATGTACGTCGTTATTAAAGCTTGCACGCACACGTGGGCCTAAATAAAATGTACGAACAATGTGTAACGTTAATAATATTAATAAAATAAATTCTTTTGAATTATATTTGCACTGCAATAATAGTGACTTGTAGCCCAATTTGTTACTGTTGAAGCAACCATCAA